CATTATATGCAAACTAAAACAGCTAACATAAAGACTGGTACAATTCTAAATGGAAAGGCAATTGCGAACAGTATTAAATCTAGAATAGCAAGTGAAATTTGTGCAATCAAGAAGAAATCACTTTTGGGCGCGTTACTTTGATGGAATCTTTCGTGTAGATCAATCCAAACTGCTTGGGAGTGTCTAGATAAAGCAGACTATCTGTTATTTCCTTTGAAACAGCGTTGAGTAACCATGAGCTCACCATACTATTGCAGCGGGACCAAATTCCAGCAATGAGCTCTCCAGTCGATGGTTTTGGAATTGATCCATCGACAAAGAGGAGCTTGTGTTTGGCGTTGAGTGACATAACCATCGCTCTGTTCCGGGTGTTGTAATTTGGGCCAGTAAGAGGGTGAGAGACCAGTATTAGACCTGGGTGATCTCCACTATGAAGAAAATATGGACTGCTAGTATTGTTCATGGAGGCTGAATCTCGTTGATCCATGTTGCCAGACGATGAAGGTGGAGTTAGAGGCTCGAACCGATTGTTATTGTGCTGCTGACCTCCACGAGCAATGTTTAAGCACGAAGCAAAGAAGTGTAGATGAAATGCTCTGATACCATTTTACAGAAAAGAAATTGAAAAGGAGAGAAAAAATGATTCTCTTATTCATTCATTCTCAGGAAAAAGTACAGCATATATAGCTGAAAACTTGTATAACATAACACAGCTCTGTGTAGTACACCTCAGCAAAATTAATTCTAGAAAGATCTATTGGTTATATCATAAAGAGGAAAATAGAAAATAATAATAATTGGTAATATTGTAAAAAGTAGCACCACCACTCATATCGCAACAATGGTGGGATCCCAATTTCCTTCTCAAAAAATAAAAATCAAACCAAAATCTCATCACAACAAAAGTCAAACCAAAATCCGGGTCTAATCTGATTTTTGAATTTAACGCCCAACAAAGAACTTGTTAGTGGAATTATTAAAAGGGGTAGGCGACGGTGGGGCGGGTGACATGATTGTAATGTTGCAAATGTCGTCCTGAACGAGAAGGAATAGACACCAATCTTGTAACGCCCCGACCCGCATGG